ATGGGGGTAAAGAGGGCCCTTATGGGCGAGTTGGTGGTGTTATTAGGGGTTCTGGACCTGACGATGACCCGACCTGTAGGTGCCGACCAGTCAAGGGCCGCCGACCGTCGGGGGGTGCAACACTGCGTATGGGTGCATACAAAACGTACGAGAAAAAGATTTGAAAGAATTGAAAGCCAGGAACCAAGAAGTACTACCACAACCCAAAAAAACACATTACCACGACATATTTACATGACCGACAAGATCACTACAGAAGATGGCTGTATTCTCAGCATTTCCCAACGTCCAGACTGATTTCCTATATGAATATGCAGGACCTGCAAAGCGAGGATACCAGAATCCCACGGTGAAAACGGTCATTCGCTATTCCGTCTGCGGCAGAGGAATCATTGAGAACCCTGCCGGATCACATCAGCTGCGATCACAATTCAAACTTCAGATATTGAAAACCGCCGGGGCTTATTTGCAAAGCACTTAGCGCTTGGATGTCCATAATAGCCAATGGCCGGGACCTTCAAGTATCCTGAGGCATTTGAAGCGCCGTGTGAAAGCTCCCAGCAATCTCTCTGATCATAGATTCATATTTCAAAAGTAGCGAGATTTTGTACTAACGGGCCTGCATGGGACCGGGCATCCCGTCCCTGCGGCACGCATAATGGGCGACTGGGTACATACTACGTAGGTGATTTTCCCAGCCATTTTGGGCACCCCAGGACTGGGGTGGTGTAGAGCTCCCATGTCCCAGGACCCCCCATCCCCTCCCGCAGCGGTTCGTGCTGCAGGGGTATTTGGTCCTATCTCTTCTTCTTCTTCTTTTCTTCTGTACATGTACTTTTCTTGATTGCTGTGTGCCGGTAATGAGTAACTGGACTGGCGCCCCCCAGAATAGAAGGGACAGGTTTCTCCGGGGGAAAGAAGGGGGGATGTGTACTGAGAACAGCGATGTCTAACTTACCAGCACTTAGTGGTTGGACGTTCACAATTGCCAGAGGCAGATCTTCTAGAGCTCTGAGGCGTTTGGAGAGCTGGGTGAAAGCTCCTAGCAATGTCGAGATGATCGACGCCCTATCTGCAACCAACAAACAATAGGAACTCCAACTCAGTCGTGACTTAATAACAAACCCGCACAGTTGCATCCGGGAAACCTGACTCGTTGGAGCACAGCACAGGACAAAGCCTCCACTTGTGAAATCTTAATTTCCAATGAACACGACACAACAATGCAGTAATCGCATTCCCGGACCAGGAGAAAGAAATAACTTTGCCAATGTTTGAACACCCTGGCGCCTAAAGAAACAACTTGCCAATGTTTGAACACCAGTTGCCTGGGGCCATGTACTGGTGGTTTAAGCAATGAGGCATGGTCATCACAACAAAGCCGTATTCCACGAGCAACGTGGTTCATTTTGAAGATACTTGGCCTTGTACCGCAAAGAAGATAAAGTCAGCAGAAGACATAGGATCGAGCACATTCGCCATTCCCCAAGAGAACAAAGTTCAGCTGCTCTGCAACCACCTCCACTTTGTCACGGGTGACATGAGAGCATGAGAGTATATGGGAGTATATGGGATTATCCTTCACAATTGTATCCTCTAAGCCAACGGTTAAACCACCAGTACTTCCGAAGACAGCGGCGCATTAACGGCCAGCCATTGCTACAGTGCCGTTTCAAATGAATATAGCCCAGAGCCACAGGCCCATTCATCTCAGCGCTTCCCGGCGCGTTAACAGCCGCACTTTCGGAAGTACTGGTGGTTTAAGGCGTGTGCAGCGCCGTTTCAAATGAATATAGCCCAGTGCCACAGGCCCATTCATCTCAATGCTTCCCGGCGCGGTAATGGCCGCACTTTCGGGAAGTGCTGGCGGTTTAACACGTGTTAATCCACCTTGCAAACTGTCTCCACATTTTCTAGTGCAATACCAGAAAGTCTCTGGGGCTCACCTTCACCATTTTCCCAAAGGACACAGTCCAGCTGGCCTGCAACCACCTCTATATTCTCAACAGGAATACCAACATGGCGACAAACGATGTGCTCCACAATGCGCTTGATAATCAAATGCCGCTCCGTCACCGAACACTCCCAAACTGCGGAAAACAGCATTGCCAGCCTGGTAGCATCAGTGTGAGATATCAAACAGAGATCGTGCAGAAGGAAACAACAACCAACCTGTCCTCGCAATAACCAAAAGAATACCATTTCAGCAAGTGTCTCAGGAAAAACTTGCTCATAATAACACTTACGCAAAGTTGCTCATAATAACACTTTTGTCACAACAACAACAAAAAAAAAAACGACCGGCTACCGCATCATTCTTTTATGCCATCTGAGGGTGTCAGGCCTCATTGCCCAGCCTTTTGGCTAAGAGGTTAACATCAAGTGCCGTATCTGTTCTGACGAGTTCAATATCGAATCTGTGGTCCATTTGGGAGAGGGGGGGGGGGGAGGCCTGGTTTCCCAGGAGGGCAACAACAGGAGAGAGACGATTTAAAGCACCAGTCTGTTTCCCCCCAGCTATCGTGTTCCGGTGCGCCGCTTCACCTGCTGCAAAATTGCGGGTCAGGTCTACCGAATGGAAAATGTCGGCATCGTCAAGCAAATCGTGAGCTGCGCCGGATCGGCAGGAATGGGCAGTCAGCAAAAAAAATCCGCATCAAGGAAAAAAGGCTTGGACGGACTGGCGGTTTAATGGTTCGCAACTGTGCGATCCTGACATAAAGAGAGGGCTTAAGAATTTTGACTGCATCTCACAGGCAGAAGCAGTTTCTGACCGCTACTTCACATCTTTTAAAAAAAATTAAAAAATTGGACCATTTCTCAATTTATGCATGTCATCGTTGCGCCGGGGCCATTTGCTTATTTACCCTTCTCTGTATCGTTCCAATTTCAACAAATGTCCCGGAGGACAGTTTCTGACCACTTCTGAGTACGATACGTTTAAAATTACCACGGTAATTGAGGAAAACGCGTCATCTTACCTGCTGTTTCCGCGATTGTTCCATCTTGGAATCGTCGTAGTTCAGTTGTGGGGCCCCAAAACTGCCGAAACTTCTTTGCCTGGTTGCATTTTTTCATACAGATGGGATCAGAAATCATCCCAGCAATCAGTCCTTAGCAAATTGACAATAGCAAAAACGAAAAGAAAAAGGTCAAAAAAAACTCCACAGCAGTACACAGTCAACGAGGCTGACTTTAGGCATGCATATGTTCGGATTTCGCTGCTGGATGAATCTGAATCATACTTGCAAGCGCACGTCGTGCGTGAGTTTCCCGACGTTCCGCGCACGCGCCCAACCGTTCCTGCGTGGCGCACGAGGTGTGTGGGGAACGGCCCGAACCCACCCCCCCCACCCCAAAGAAAAAGGTGGGGATCGAAATGGCACATTGGAGGCCCCCCGCCAAATTTGATGCCAAGGCCAAAAAAAAAAAATTTAGGCCCACGCTCAAGGCCGGACCGGGAGGTTTCGAATTTTCGAGACCTGTTTGTACTGTGTGGGTGGGTTTGGCTGGGCCTCTTGCGTTGGTTTCTGGTCGGCCACGGCCATTCCTGCGAGGAGTGCCGTAGCCATTTCAAGGAGGAGCTGCCGCCGTTCTCAAGTGCCGCCCCGTGCTGCCGTGCTGCCTTGTGAGGGAGAAGCTGCCGCCATCGCCCGGTGAGTATCACCGGCCTCAACCTCCCCTTCATCCTCCTCACTGCCTCCTCTGCATGCTTCTCCTCTCCTCCCGCTCGTCCTCCTTGTCGTCGTTGTCACCCTCCTCCTCCTCCTCCTCCTCCTCCTCCTCCTCCTCCTCCTC